GATTTTACTAAATTATCTATAGTATCAATCCACTTGTACGTTCCATTGAGAGAAAACTGTTTCCACATTTTATTTTTCAGAGTACGATTGAAGCGTTCACATATAGAAGCCTTAAGGTTGCTGAATGTGGAGTACATTTTTATATCATAATCTTTCATCAGAGCTTGGAAATTCTTGTTATAGAACTCCTTTCCCTGAGGTACATATCACTTTTTAGGAATACACCCCTCTTTCAAGATGAGATTCATAGCATTTGCCACATCTACTCCATTTTTAGTTTTGGTTGGGATGGCCCATGCATACTGGGAGAAAATGTCAACAACTGTAAGGAGGTACCTATAGCCCTTATTGACATTTGCATAAGCCCCCATCTCCACTACATCAGCTTGCCAGGTTTCATTCAAACCTCTAATATCAACATGACGACAAGTGTAATTCCTCCTAGTTGGTTTATGAAGCTCCTCCACTATTTTAGCCTCCTTTAATTCCATCTTTGTCTCTGCTCAGGGAATGATCTTGAATATTATTATCTGATGAAGCTATTTCCTCTGTCTGCTTCTTTTCATCTCTGCTTGAGAAATTATCTCAGATACTTGAGATTGAAGAGCTTGAAGGGAATCTTTCAACTGTTTATTCAGTGATATGATCTCTTTTTGCAAGAATGTTGTATATCTTGTCAGAATTTTCATTGAAACAGCATCCAAGGGATCCTTTGCATCAGCTAAATTACATAATTTTTTGTTATCAATATCATAGTTTCCATCATGTTTACGCTTGAATCCATCACCTGGAGGACCTCGTCTTCCTGGGGTAGTAGTACGACCATAAGCCCACTGTCCACCGAACACATCTAATATACAGAATCTAATATACAATTCCAGCCTCACGTCACTCTTCGATGATGGAGAAAATTTCATTGGTGTGACTCGTATTGCCAGCTGCCTGAGATGCCATGAGTAAACAAAGTCTATCTACCAATTCATTAGGATCATCCCAGTAGACATAATCCATTTTTTAGTTTGTAGTCCTTGGAGCGATCATGTATTGCGGTAGCAGAGCTGTACCAGTTTTTTGAATCGATGATGATTGAAGCAGTGGTGCTATAATATTAGTAAATTTTTGATTCTTTTTTTTCTTAATGGGTTGGTCAGCTTGATAGCGAGATCGATGAGGACTCGTCCGTTCAATAATTGCAACATAAACTTTTTTATCAATTTCAGTGATATGCTCTGGTTCTGGAGATTTCATGAAAATCAATTACATCAGACCAGGTGTTAATTTATACTGTTTATCTTACGAAATCATTGCATCATCCTTGAAAGAAACTATTGAATTTCCGATTTTCAAACCTCCTTTCAAATTTCTAATGCCAAATTCAGTGTCCAATTTTTTCTCTTTTGCTGTTCCAAATCTCTGGAGATATGACTGTGACAGGTTCTCTGGATTTGATATATTGAGGTCTTCAGTCGATGATTCATCAATCGACTCCAACGGTCTTGAAGAATGGTTTTTGAGTAATGGAGTATCATTCAGACTCATTGAAGGTTGTGATGATGATGATTCTGCACGTCGCGGAGTNACAAAATCATTACATCATCCTTGAAAGAAACTATTGAATTTCCGATTTTCAAACCTCCTTTCAAATTTCTAATGCCAAATTCAGTGTCCAATTTTTTCTCTTTTGCTGTTCCAAATCTCTGGAGATATGACTGTGACAGGTTCTCTGGATTTGATATATTGAGGTCTTCAGTCGATGATTCATCAATCGACTCCAACGGTCTTGAAGAATGGTTTTTGAGTAATGGAGTATCATTCAGACTCATTGAAGGTTGTGATGATGATGATTCTGCACGTCGCGGAGTACTTGAGAAGATTTTTTGTTAATGATCCTCGTCTGCTGTCTTGAATGCATCATTCTCTTCATCATTATCCCCAACATCCATCCATGGAACCATTGATATCCCTCGTTCTGACAACTTTCTTTTCTTTTGTCTTGATTTTTTCGATTGTGCTTCAACTAATTTTTCAAGCGGTGTAATCATTGGTTTAAATACTTCGTTTGCAGTACGTTCTGCAGCAACTTGACCTAATTTCAATATTTTATATTTACGTCGGATTGCATCACTTACTAAAGCAATGTGATGCAAATCATTGGATTCTTTTTCCAACACCTTGCCCTGCATGTTGATTGGTGCACGTTCAGTTGAACACTGTCTTCAATCTCGAAGATCATTGCTTATTTATGGTGATAAAGCAATCGAAACCTCTTCGATAACGTCCATTATTTAATTCACTATCTTTATCAATTACCATGAATCCATACTTGTCCAGATACCAACAAGTTGGGCACAAATCTTTGAATTGTGTATATGACATATCACTATTGACATGATCATCATAAATATGTTTCAGGTTCATCTCATCTCGAGGAAAAAGTATGAGAAAATTCGTGTTATCGCGCACTAAATGCTTCGGGATACGAGCATAAGTCTGACAGAGATAGAAACAGTCTACGTTTTAATGTCGTCCCATACAAAAAAAAGCTCTCATATTGTCTTGTTTCTCACAAGCAGTTGTTGCGAAGATTATGATTTAGTTGGGGCGAGCATCTTCAGGTTTGATCACCTCTTCGTGATCGCTGAATGGAAAATATTCAATAACTTTTGTAGATTCTAACAACTGCTTGAGGAACTGGTATTTCGGTTAAATCAGAGACTTTGAATACACGTAAACATTCTCAGATCTCAATCCATTTGGATGAGTGATCAGTGCAAATAAGACATTTACCACAGCTTGAAGGTCCACAAATCACTGCACGCATGCTATTCGGTAAAAGAGAACCATGTCGATTCATTCCTCCACCCTTTTTTTGTTGAACAATTTGATCGAAAATGATAACAGGGAGTTTCACAGTTTGCCGCTTGAACTTCATCTTGACGACTGCAGCATCAGTTATAAATACGCTGTATTTATATGGTTCTGGTCAGTCGTTGACAGACCATGGTCGCGTGCAAACGTAAGAGAGAGCGCAGCGGTGAAGGTTTTGTGCATAAAGTGATTAATAACTTGCCTGTGGAATTACATGTGCCGGGTTGTAGATACTATGGACCAGGAACCAAATTAGTTAAACGATTGGCTCGTGGTGATCGTGGGATAAACCCTCTTGACGAAGCGTGTAAAGAACACGATATTGCCTATTCTGAGAATAGAGAAAACTTGTCTGCTAGACACAACGCTGATAGTATTTTAGAACAACGAGCTTGGAGTCGCGTGTTGGCGAAGGACGCTGGTCTTGCTGAAAAGGTAGTAGCTTGGGGAGTGGCGAACACCATGAAGGCTAAGAAGAAACTCAGGATGGGTATGCGTCAGAAGAGAAAAACTGATACGAGGAGGAGAAAGAAAACTGGGAAAGGACATAAGCTGAAAAAACAGACTGGCCGAGTTCCGAAGGGAAAAATCGGAAAGGGTAGCAAGCGAAAAAAGAAGAAGATCCCATTACGTCAGATTATTGATGCTTCTAAAGCTTCGATGCTTCCAGGAGTGAATCCTATGAAAACAGCATTGAAAGGGGCACGTGAAGCTGTGAAAAATGCTGGAGGAAGGAAGGAAATTCGAGCCTTGCCTCGCATTCTACCTGTTCCAACAAAAACCGGTGGAATTTTGCCCGCTTTTCTCATCTCACTCTTCGCTGAACTCAGTGCTACAGGTGCTTTAGCAGGTGGTGCTGCGGGCATTGCAAAAGCTGTCAATGATGCTAAGGCTGCTAGGGAAGCCCTTGAGGAGAGTAAACGACATAATCGGAATATGGAAGATATTGCTGTGGGCAAGGGATTGTATTTGAAGCCTTATAAGCAAGGTTTGGGACTTCATTTGAGTCCAAAAAACGTGTAAGACTACCACACCGAGCGCTCACCGATAATGACATACTAAAATTTGCTAGAGCAATGAAAATTCCACATTTTCCACAATCTTGATGACAGTGAGGGACCTGGCACCCATTGGTTTGCTTATAAAAAGCGGAATAAAGATGTCATTTATTTCGATAACTTTGGCAACTCGCGTCCACCTCAAGATTTAGTAAATTATCTCGGTGCTGGTAGTTTAGTAAAATATAATTACAAAAATTATCAAGACTATGATACAATTATTTGTGGACACTTATGTCTCAAATTCCTGTCTAATCAATTGTCATAAAAGCAGCGATCCACGTCGGTGGCAGATCAGTTCAACGCTAACCATCATGGATGACTCTTTCACGTTAACATTATCGGTACATCTTCTGTACTGCAGGCATATTATTTTCCACCAATTGAGTTATCACCTTTGAAAACCTACAGTGTAGGGCTTCTGTCATTCTTAACGTACAATTCAATCCCTAATATTGATGAGGGACATAATAAATTCTATTTCGTGCAAGACACTGAAACTGTTTTCACATTACCGACTGGGACATATGAAATTGAGGATATTGAAAAGCAGTTGGAAAAACAACTTGAAAATGAAGGTGTACAACAATTCAGCCTCAAGGCTGATGATATTACTCTTAAAACGGAGATAAAAATACCACGTGACATTTTCATTAACTTCATTCCACCGGATTCCATTGGTCGATTGTTGGGGTTCAAACTGGATGTTCTCCACAGTTCGGGTTCTTACCAGTCTGACATGCAAGCATCAATTATTCATATAAATTCTATCCGTGTTAAATGTAACATCACTGCTGAAGCATACATCAACAACGAATGAGCACATACTATACATGAATTTTTCCCAAGTGTCCCGCCAGGATATAAGATCATCGAAGTGCCAGCTCAAGTCATTTACCTGCCGATCGTCGTACAGTCAATAGACCAATTGCAAGTGAAAATTGTTGATCAAGACGGACGTTTAGTGAGTTTTCGCGAAGAAATTATAGCAATAAGACTCCATATTAGAGCGAATTAGAGAATGGGAATTGTCTTCCAGAGTAAGGTTGGCGGCAGCTATAAAAGCCATACATCATGCCGAAAGTTCCACAGTCAACTAGCAGCTTTCAAGCGGCTTACATCTCAGAACGTCAAATATCTGAAGAGTCTGGGTCTGAAACTTCGCGGAAAAGCAAGAAAGTAAAGTTTTGCTGTATCGTCATCGCTTGTTGCTATTTACCATGGAAGAAATTCTGAAAATTCAAAAACCAATCATTTTTGATGAGTCCATTGCTCATTATGAGATTCATGTTCATCAGCTATTTGCATCATCAAGTTTAAACAATAATGATGAAATTCGCATAGCTGTGCAGCATCAAGATTTATATGTGTTGCCATGCAAGAGTTCACCCCACATCTGTGGTCGTCTCACGAAGGCTGATGGCATCACTGCTGCTGAAGCAACCAACTTTGTCAATAATGCCATTTGTCACTTATTTGAGGAAATCCGCTATGAACTGAATGCTATGGAAATCGATCGCTGTAAAAATGTTGGTGTAAGTACTCTGATGAAAAACTACATTTTCCAGAGTCCAAGTCAAACATTTTTATTGGAGCATGCTGGTTGGATTTTCCAAGAAAATGGGAAAATAACTGACGATGCAGGATATTTTGATCTCTCTATTCCTCTGATTATGATACTGGGATTTGCTGAAGATTACCAACGGATTATCATCAACGCGAAGCATAAGTTAATTCTCACTCGTTCACACAATGACAACAATGTTGTTTTACAAGCCCAACCAGCTCAAGGGGTACAAGCAGAGGACTTCAAAATTTCACTCACCAAGCTTGAATGGATGATATCCTACGTCAAAGTTGCAGATTCTCGTAAAGTTCAACTGTTGAACTATAATGCTCAAGATATAGCCACACCTATGAGCTTTCGAGCTTGGGAGTTGTACGAGTATCCCATGTTAGCGAGAACCTCCAAACATGTTTGGGTAGTGAAATGTTCAACACAATTGGAAAAACCACGCTTCGTTATTGTTGGATTCCAGAGCTCCAGAAGGAATCAAATAACCAACAATGCCAGTAAATTTGATCATTGTACCATTCGAGATGCGAAACTCTTCCTGAATTCTCAGAGTTACCCCTATGGAAACCTCCATCTTGATATTACACACAATCAGTACTCTCAACTCTACAACACGTATACTGACTTCCAGACTTTTTACTATGGTAAGGAGCCTGAGCCCTTGCTGAACAGGGATGCATTCTTGAAGACAGCACCGCTCATCGTCATCGATTGCTCCAAGCCGAACAAGTTCCTGAAAACTGGACCTGTAGATATTCGACTTGAATTCGAATTGACGCAGATATTCCCCTATACTACTGCAGCTTATTGCTTGATCTTACATGATCGAATTATCGAATATCATCCTCTCAGTGGTGGAGTGAAGAAAATGATTTAAGAAAATATCTAATATAATCATGTATTTTTTCTGTGAGATTAATGATTAAATAAATGAATACATTTGAATGATAAAAAAGAATTTTTATTGCATATTATCTGCAAGTTTTTTACAATACTGATAATTCTTAAGACTCTCAAACTTCCATTTCAATGTCATTTTCATTCCATACAAATATCCGAGAATTGATAAAATCGAAGCCTTTTCACGATCCTCTTCATCCAACTTCATCCTCTCGATGGTAGAAGAAACCTCGTTTACTTTTTTCCTCAATTCATCCTCCAGTCTTGTTAATATAGTCTTGATAGATTTTTCAATGATGCTGGATTTGAGATCAAAGAGAACAGGTAAAGATAATCCAGAAGTATTCTGCATTTCTTCTCGATTCTTTTTCACGATTTCCATCCGATGCTCGAAATCCAAGATATCATGAAGGAAGTCGAAGGCATAGGTGGATCATTGCCAAAATGTTCCTCAATGATATCAGTATAACTCAGTTGGAATGGTGCACTCTCCATCAAATAATGCTTCTCTGCTGGTGTTAAATCCATTTTGGTTCTGATGATCAAACCACTGGGAGTCACGCTCTAATACCTTCCACCCCCACTACACATCATGTCAATGGATGAATCGTTTCTTCCCCATTCAGTTATTATTTGGATATTTAGTTGCATTCCCTTGACACGATTAGCTTCTCCCCCTTTATCTGCATTAGAGTCATCTCCTTTTTACGTGTTTAAAAGTTGCCTGGCCTTACCCATAACCCTAGATCCAAGTAAAAGGCATTTCAAACGTCTTACGACGATCTAATCTGTAAATTACTAGGAATATAGATATTTAGTTAATTTTATCCCTCATTTGTCCTCATTATTTAATTGTCCTAAATCCCCCTTTTAGGAAATAATATTAATTAAATATTGAACGGTCACAAATTGGCGCCCAACGTGGGGCTAGGCGCTAAAAATTGAGCGTATTATTTTTCTCCCCCCTAGTCTTCCCCCCCAAAGTCGCATTCCGTTCTCTTTGTGTGGCTTACTGTTGCGGGTTTGTTATGATTGCGTAACGCAGTTACAGTCGCCAGATACACTCATCTTTACTTTATACTGTGCATTCTCGTTCGAATATTTTTCTCTGGAATATTTTTCCTCTCGAAATTATTTTTGACTACTGTGTGCCCTCGAATTTATTCCCCTTGTACCCCCTCTTTCCCCCTTCCCTTTGCCCCCGAAAATGATTTCACCCCTCACCCCCCCTTGAAGTCAACTTCGAATCCTTCTATCAAATCAATAGTTTTTCGAATTAAGTTGATAGTTTTTCGTTATTATTTTTATTTAGTTTTTTTTGTGCCTCTTGAAAAGTGGAGTCACATTAAAACATTTCTTTGAAATTATTTTGGAAAATTCTCGCTTCACAAACACCCCTACGCAGGTTATGACTCCCTCGACCTCCCCAGATGCCCGAATTAGTCACTCCCTCCACCTGTTTCTTTGTGTTTGAACACTTTGGAAATTTATAAACGTTAACAAGATGACCCCGAGACCCAACGCCGACCCTATATCTGCCCCCTGGTTTGCCACCCCAGTTCTGCCCAGTACACCCGTCCCCTCCCCCTCCACCGAGATTTCCCATTATCGAGAGGAAGTTAAACGTAGATTTGAGGAACTGTGCCCCTATGAGCAGAGAGCTCTTCTAGATGCCCATAAAGTAAATATTTTTGGAAGTCCCAAGGTTTTGATAGATCGATTCGTCAGATTGGAAGTGAGAAAAAAGTTTGGCGATGAGGCCGCTGAGTGGAATAAAGAAGTTGATTCTTCCTACATCCCTCTGTCCCTTTTAGGCTTTCCCACCCAGCTCTGGGGAAGTTCGTTAAATCAAGTAAACCCCCAGAACAGGAGTTCAGAGACCTCACAGATTGTTGAGTCATCTCGAACCAACCGTAAGCGAGAAGCTCCCAGAATTGAACTCCCCTCAGGTGAATTTCACGTTACCCTCAGTCAGCCTCGAACTAGTACAGTGGACCTCAGCCCTTCGAAAGCCCTAGAGCCTTCAGTTCCTTCGTAGCCCAGTCAGCCCCACCTAGCCACCCTGACAGTTGCCGGACCACCTAACCTACCCCTTGAGCAGACACCCCAGGACCCTACAGAGCAGTGCCCCCAAATTCCCCCGGGACCGGATCAATCCCTTGGAAATTCCAGCAGTAGTAAAGAGAATGCAAATGTTAAAGATCTCAAAGAGGAAGTAATTGAAGATCCCAAACTCCCTCCACAGATGGATCAAATCCCCCCACTCATGTCCTTCAAAATTCCCCAGCCACCTATCCTGGATCAAAACCCTCCCCCATGTCCCTCAAAATTCTCCGATCCTCGTCCTAGATCCAATCCCCCCACTCATGTCCCTCAAAATTCCCCGATCCCCGTCCTAGATCCAATCCCCCCCCTCATGTCCCTCAAAATTTCCCGGCCACCCATCCTGGATCAAAACACCCCCCCCCCCATGTCCCTCAAAGTTCCCCGATCACCCGTCCTAGATCCAATTCCCCCACTCATGTCCCTGAACATTCCCCGTCCCCCTAGCCTGAATCGAAGTCTTACGATCAGGAGTCTGAAAACCCTCCGTCGCTTTGATCTGAATCAATCCCTCCACCTGAGAATCTTAGAATCCCTCGTCCCCATGCAGTTGATAGAAAGCCCAGTGAAACCAAGTCAGCCCTCCACTTTCATTTAGTAGAATCAAGGTCACCC